TATATATATATATATATATATATATATATATATATATATATATATATATATATATATATATATATTATATAGTATATAGTATATATATATATATATATATATATATTTGTGCGTATATGTATGTATGTGTGTTTGTGTTTATTTATTTATATTTATTTATATCGATGTATATATATATAACCTAATGCGTTTTGATACATCATGTTCTATCGGGTAAGCAACTCTGGAACGACTACATCACATAGTTCAAAGCGCGGTAACAAATCTCAATTTAAATATAACCCATGCTTCTGTGTAAGGTACTTTGAACATGGCCGTCTAGATCATAAACCGAAGTATATATGAAAATTAGTAATTTAATTGTGATAGTTATGTGTAAATATTGAGTAATAACTAAATCTGTGATCGTATACTCACAAAGTATGTCTGGCCTTGCCATACACTTTTCTGAATATCTGAGATCACTCTATGAGAAAACGCAACCAAAGAAGAGGACCAGTGCTCTGCACAGTACGCACATAGCTGCGAATAACGAACGTACGCTCATACACCTTCACTCGTGCATGCATGTGTACACATCTCTTGTTGTATTTGTTGACTTAGGAACAACCGATCGTTCGGCAGTTGGCGTACCCATGCCTTTGACACACACCTGCTGCACCTGTGTTAGAGCGGTTTCGATGTGCTGTGCAACGTATGCGATGATGGCGTCATCGCGACACTGCCACACGCAAACGCCCCACTTAGCCGTAGTCACGAATTCGTCTAACCTAATGCGCAGACGAAGCGCTTGTGAGCAACTGCACAGATGCAGATGTAAGTGCTTATGAGGAGAGCCATTGCCAATGGGTGCACGTGCATGCGTGCAAGAAGACGTGTTCAGTGCGAGCCCAGCGATGAAAGGATTATGTCAGCACATTGAATGGAAACAAAAGTTTACAGTTGAGTAGGTGCATGTACTGGGATCTACAGTAATAAGTAGGGTGTGTATTCGGACTGGACGGTCAAAGGTATGACAAGCATAGCCTTCCATCAGCGACCATTTGACACCCATCCGATGAGAAAACACTATCAACTAACCAGCAGCAACACACTCAGCTGGCGGTAGAGACCACTCACCCGATGGGAAAACACTATCAACTAACCAGCAGCAACACACTCAGCTGGCGGTAGAGACCACTCACCCGATGGGAAAACACTATCAACTAACCAGCAGCAACACACTCAGCTGGCGGTAGAGACCACTCACCCGATGGGAAAACACTATCAACTAACCAACAGCAACACACTCAGCTGGTGGTAGAGATCACTCACCCGATGGGAAAACACTATCAACTAACCAGCAGCAACACACTCAGCTGGTGGTAGAGACCACTCACCCGATTGGAAAACACTATCAACTAACCAGCAGCAACACACTCAGCTGGTGGTAGAGACCACTCACCCGATGGGAAAACACTATCAACTAACCAGCAGCAACACACTCACCCGATGGGAAAACACCCCGAAGGTAGGCAGTGCAATGTGTCATCGACTCAATAAGCCGCAGACTTCGGTCATGTGCCGTTTGTATGGAGACTTGTCGATGCTTTGCTGATGATAAAATGGTAAATGTCGCAATTGTTTGTGAGGTGGTAGAATATCGTATTGTATTGTTGGTAAAGTGGTAGAATGTTGCAATTGTTAGTACACATTTGATGTCCGGGTGGTTAAGTACCGGCCCGTCTATAACGGCAGATACGTCTCCTGGGGACAGACAGCTAACTACAAGCACACGACTGATCAGTCCATATCGTTATCACCAGTCTTGTTTTCAGAATCACTCCAAAGTTAGTATCGACAGATTCCTGTCCATATTCGGCTTTTACCTCAGCTAAAATGAAGATCACACAATGAATGGTGATTCGATCTCCAGATACCGCGAGAATCAATCGTAGATGTTGTACATGGCACTCGCGAGGTGTGTCATGTGTACAATTGAACATGTGCATAGCAGTCGGTCGGGTCAGTCGATATATTGGGTGTGCCCTGTAGGTAAAAGAGATATCTTTCTATGGGTGCCGTTTCAGTTTACATTGCCCATTTGACACATTTGACAGGCGTCAGAGTAGCAGGGCATATAACAATAGTGTGGCTACATTCACTTGTGCACATTTGACAGGTGTGACAGTGACAGTGACAGGGCATATAACAATAGTGTGGCTACATTCACGTGTGCACATTTGACAGGTGTGACAGTGACAGGGCATATAACAATAGTGTGGCTACATTCACGTGTGTACATTTGATAGGTGTGACAGTGACAGGGCATATAACAATAGTGTGGCTACATTCACTTGTGCACATTTGACAGGTGTGACAGTGACAGTGCATATAACAATAGTGTGGCTACATTCACGTGTGCACATGCGAGGTATCAGTTGTACCATCCAGTGTTGCACTGGGACGATTCTGCATTTAATAGGACCCCTAAGCAGACATTCAAAACGCGTCCCATTTAACAAAAGGACAAATAAAACGTGTGGTAGGTATCGATTCCAACAGCGGTTGCAAGCGGAGACTGGTTTTAATAGCTTTCACATTCCGTCATTTCTCATGGTTTACTGTCTGCGTCCTTGGTACAGCCATGGCTACGTGGCGTCATCTATATGTTCCGTTGCGATATGACTGAATATGTTAACATGAGAACACTCCACTTGCTGTGACATGCCACGGGCGTATCGGAGGCTGTGTCGTGTCTATATAAGGTAGACATAAGTTTGAGACAACCCTGCAAGGCACAGACAAAGGGATACCACCAAATGTATTCAAAAACGGTAGTAGCACAACCCGCCAGAGGACGGCCCACAGAGACGTTTACGCGTCTACAGAAATATTTGATACGCCTCACATCTATGTGTTAGTATACAGACAGAGTGAAAGATCTGTACTTGCAAGGGTCTATAGTGAGCGTACTATGTAATACAACAGTTGCCGATGGTTGCTTCATCACACGTGGGGTCAGCTGAGGCACGCACGTACACAGCAGCCATGGCGAAGCTCCGTACTGCACAATACTCCACAGTTAAGTTCAGTGGATGGCCGCTACCATTAACCATCGACCAAAACATCACAGTACATACGGCTAGACATGCGCAGGCGTTATAAACATATCAGAAAATTAAAAACATCTATAAGAGACATAAAGCAAAACAGAACATCTATGAGAGATATAAGGCAAAATATAACATCTATGAGAGACATAAGGCAAAATATAACATCTGTAAGAGATATGAGAGACATAAGGCAAAACATAATATCTATGAGAGACATAAGGCAAAACATAACATCAATGAGAGACATAAGGCAAAACAGAACATCTATAGGAGACTTAAGGCAAAATATAACATCTATGAGAGACATAAGGCAAAACATAACATCTATGAGAGACATCAGGCAAAACATAACATCTATGAGAGACATCAGGCAAAATGTAACATCTATGAGAGACATAAGGCAAAACATAACATCTTTGATAGACATAAGGCAAAACATAATATCTATGAGAGACATAAGGCAAAATATAACATCTATGAGAGACATAAGGCAAAATATAACATCCATGGGATACAGAAGGCAAAACATAACATCTATGAGGGACATAAGGCAAATCATAACATCTATGAGAGATATAAGGCAAATATAGCATCTATGAGAGACCATCTATGAGTGTCCTATGTTGAACTGCATCTATGAGTAACTTTAGTTAAATTATATCATTTATGAGTGATTAAGTTAAATTATAACATCTATAAGTGACTTATGTTGAATAGTATCGATGAGTGACTTGAATTGAATTATTACATCTGTGATTGACTTGAGTTATTTCATAAAATCTATGAGTGACTAAGTTAAATTAATACATATGAGTGACTAGAGTTGAATTATAACACCCATGTGACTTAAGTTAATTCGCAACATCTATGAGTAACTTGTAAGTTCAATTATAATAACTATGAGTGACTTGAGTTAAATTACATTTATGAGTGACTTTTTAAGTTCAACTATAATAACTATGATTGACTCCGAGTTAAATTACATCTATGAGTGACTCAAGTTGAAATAGTGTACCATACCCATTGCCACCCTGAAGCGACATAGTGAAGCTCCTTTCAAGTTAAATACGTATATAAATTTCATAGGTGCTTACAGGTGCAATGCAGTAACATCTGTGAACTCAACGGACAATAATGAAACCTTTGCGCCATGCAAGTGCCTGATAGCTACACGAATGCATGTGTACAAAACCATATAGAACCAGTCAACACGCTGTTCAGGAAAAGACGTAAACATAGTTGCGCGCGTGACGAATGGTGGTATGGATACTATGCTGAACCTTTCCCGTTGGTGCAATATCTGATTTCGACTGTTTACGAATGAAAATATCCATCTGTGCGTGCGACTGGGGTGTGATGACAGATAACAGGCAACCGAATACGTCTGAAGAAGCTTTGCGTGTGTTTATAACTTCTTTTGTGAACTATGGCAATGATGAGTTATAACCGCCTTCTCGCAAGCGCACGTAATCGACTGTGAAGCACACTTAACGGGAGTGCAGGACTGCTTACGTGTGCAATCTCTTGCATCCACCACGTTCAAAATTAAATTGCAAATGTCATGGTTGGTGTATACCGAAATTGTTGCCAACGCTTAAAATTCAGTCGTGATATGTCGAGCGCTAACTCCCTCACCCACTAGACCTATGCGATAAATAGTGCATTGACGACAGAAACGTGGAACACAACGAATATATTTTCATAATATGAAACTACAACTAGCATAGTCTCGTGCTTCTATTGTTATAGTGTCAGAGACTACATATAAGCCCTCGGGCAATCCAGTCTGAATGCGAGATAAATTAAGCTAAGTCATTACCATTCCGACGCGCCACTACTTGCTCAGCGGAGAGTGAAATGGAAGCCCTTTTTAAAAATATTGTATACATGTTTGTGTATGTGTACACAATACACGCAATCCCTTTATGAAAATATAAATGTAATGTGGAAACGAATAAACGAAGACCCTTCGCATAACAAACTAACCTGACTATAAATGTGACGCATTCAGTGACCGGCAAAGGACAAAACTGTAGCCATATGACCAAAGGCCTAAGTGCGCACAGACTCTGCATCTCATGATCGACTAGCACTAGTGTAGTGCTCACATGTATGACAGTTATCACCTCGAGAATTCTAAGCAGATTCTGTCATTACAAGCAACATAGCTTAAATACAAGGTTTGTATCAATCACTCAACCGCTTGTCGCAATAGCTTAATGTTCGCATTCACATAAAGTCAGGCGCGTATGCACCACTCACCTTTGCTCATGTTTGTGTTCAACTGCTATAATCCAACAGTCGATTCCAAATCAAAATCTACAGTATGTCTCGTCAGTTTCCCGTGTCGGTTGTGCACATTGTGTACATATGTGTGTGTGTGTAATGTACAGCTCTTTTAGCAACTGCGCCTATATACACACCTCGCATCACCGGGCCCACATCGTTCGTGTCGTGGATATTTAATCCACTTATCGATCAAAAGACGTTGTCATTATTTTAAGATATACGTCAAGTACTGATATTATTATTTCACGAATGTATCATCTGAATTCGCTCACCCGATTGTGAACTCCGCAATATCTTCGGATGCGCAGGTTCGAGTCCTGCACCTGTCATTTACTTAGCAGGTTGGCCGAGTGGTCTAAGGCGTTGTGTTTAGGAAACAATCATTTTCTTTTTATATTGGTTCGTGTCCGTGTTGCCCCAGCACCGTGAGACGTGAGTGATATTTATATTTATCTGCTCGCGAGTTGTAGTACTTCTCTACAGCTTGCGCGCATGTGATTCTCCTCATGACATTGTACATGTGCGAAAACAAATGACTTAAGTCTTTGGCGTTCTCCCAGAGTGGAGCAATCTGTATGTGCGAGATTTTATCGCCAGCTTTGGTCCTAGTCGTTGTAAAGAACCAAAACACTGTTGCACTACTTTAAAGACCGCGAGCGAAATTATATTCAAGTAGGGTAGCTCGTGTTCAGTATACAAGGCAGTACACAACTATATCACAGGACTCAACTACGAAATCAAAAATTATTACGGTATACAGCCACACGACTAGTTTCAACATCGTTTAATGGGTCGAACTTGTTGTATATGTATTGTGTATGCATAATATTGAATCAGTGGTTTGCATATTTAAAGTTTATATTTTCATTTGCTTTCATAGAGTGTGCTTTGACTGCACAACCTTGTCCTCCGAGTATTCTGCCATACTCTCATAAACTCACTCAAAATTGCTGCCACGTCCTGTAAGGTCAATTAACATTTCCGGGTGATCATATCTGGATTCTTGAGCTTCCATTCCGGATATTCAGCGACAGTTTCTGGCATTCGACTCGAAGAATTTCATGGCTGGCAGCAGGCACAAGTACTGCACACCGATAAATCCTACAACCAAGAACATCTTCGCGCCAGGGAGTGCGCAAATTATAATATTATATTTAAAGTGCCTGCTTGGCAGTTGTCAGATGAAGAACGTAGACCAAGTCAAGTAAACTTTGCACTATTATCCCTATCGCACTGTACGCACTGTGTTCAGTTTTCCGCTCATGGCACACCCAGTGAGAGAGCAAGTTTAAAAACCAATAATAATGAAGTAGGGTGTTGAAGGAAACGTTTTTATCTTTCTTCTGTCAACTGATATTGGAGGTTTGTTACAGTGTACTAGTTAGCCATTTACAAGTGCGTTAAAACGACCTCTGGTAGCTATCGAGGGACATTGTATTGTAGCTGGGTGGACAGCATATACGTGCTGTACAATACTGCACGGAGCTCCAGTTCGGAATCCATAAAAAAAAATCATACCAGAAATGCACACATTTTGCACTTCAGCTTTATACCAAGCTAGATTTTCAATACAAAATACATACTGTACGTATTTTTAAAACTGAATATATCAAAATATCCAGCTCTCAAGAAAATAGAGTGTGTATTTTCCATCACCTGCTGGTTGCTCTATTGTGAAAAATATTACTGTCTTGTTCTCGAGAAAAAAATCGAGTTAAATTTTTTTAAATATAATTGAAGAAAGCTCGACACTAGTTTTGTTTTGGAGACAATTTCTCTTGCAATCCGCTCAAATTCATTACTATTGAAAACCCTCTGTGTTAACATGGTTGCATGAATTGACTCAACAATTATATGCACTTAACATAATCGAAAATAAAAAGTGTCTGGCCTGGTGTGGAATTTGTTCTTTTGGGGCAATGTGCTTAAACTTGACCTTGGCGAGATTTTATTACTTCAACACGATGAGAACCACAGCATTTGCAGCGTGTATATTGTATTGAGAGGTTTACATACACCTACAGATTGTCAGCAATTCCATCACCTGCTAGTTTAATACTCTATTGACATCATTGTTACTGTATTTCTATCTTGTTCTTAAGAAAACTCGGTAATCGTTGATACAATTCCTTTTTTTATTCTTTTTACTACCCACTCTGCTTCATTTACTATTTATTACCATGGCCGCGGCAATGCTGTGAATTATTTTTTACAATTTGACCATCAACCGAAAATGAAAATTGTTCGGTCTAGGTCCAGAGGCGAAATGTCTACAAATGACCAGTGGCGAGATTGGTACTCCGATACAATGATAACCACGGTATTCGCAACTTTTAGTGTTATCGCAACATTATTATTCAAGAGTCACTGTGTTTTTGGGCTGACTATATTTCATGACCTGATTTTCGTGTAGAAACGGTGAGTATTTTAATAGTAGAGCTGTCATTTTGCGCCATTCTACTGCACAAGTGACAATTCGGTTCAATCAACTATAACCTTATTATTTCCTGTGCAACCCTCAAGCAACTTTGCCAGTTGTCAAAGAGCTTTTCTGTACATTGCGGTATGAATATTGCAGACACACGATATGTGCTTCAATCGGGGGTTTGATATAAAAACCACCAATCAAAACTGAAACTGCGACACCACTGTGGCAAACCTTGCAACGGCGCGTTCGAGTTTTGTATCATTTTCATAGATAGAGCCTTAAATCTTGGGGATGTGCTTTAACTAGATACCTTTCGACCATTCGAATCAATTTTCTATTGTCATATAAATGTTTTATAAAATAAAATAAAAATGTTACCGACAGCAACATAATGGTGTTTGTTACTTTGGAAGTGAACTCTGGCAAGGTGGATACTTCATTGCTTAATATCGTGGATTAGCGTACATGAGATTGCAAAGGCGCAGTATATGTTCAAGGTATATTTTCGCATTTCATGTAGAATAATGTTCAATCTTAAGCAAAAAATAGATACCTATTGGGATCTCACTTCATTGTAAACGGATAAGCGAACACTTAACAGGTGGCTTGGCATCTCTTTTCCAAGCCGTTCGACTCTTTTGGGACAACTACTAGTAGGGAGGAAGTAGGTCTCGTCATGAAACCTGTTGAAGTTCTGTTTGGAATGAAGATTAAATATCCCAGTATCTGCTCTCGACATTTGGTGCGGGCTATGATATTTATCAAAGTTACTTTTGAAAGCCAAATTAATTAAATGATAGGGTTTTTATAACGTTTAGCTTTAAAGCTGTGCTGCACAATATGTTATTGCGACTGTCGTTCTGTTTCCATGTCTTACAGATTTATTTGTGTACCATTTTCTGCTTTTAAAACCAGCAGACAATATAAATATCACATTCCGGTCCACAGCTGGCCCATAGAAGGTCGCAATGTTGGAACAGACATAAACTGGCGATGTCGGTGTGCCTTGAGTTTGCACACATAATATACCTATGTAGTAAATTTGCATCGGGCCATGGACGACAGTTGTATTGATTTTTATTGTCTCTCTACGATTCTAGGTTACCCAAATCACGAGTTTTTCCTCATGCTTGGTCATTCTATTGTTTCTAAAGTGAAAGAATCCACTGAGTGTACACCGATTGCACCTGAACCAATATGTGTTCATACGATGTGCATTGTTGTGCCTTATAGTCCTTCGTGTCAATTCTGGTGCGAAAATAGCTCGGAGTGTTCATCCATGGCGCCATCATATAGTCCACAGCGCTTAGACAGCATGCACTACGCCACTAGGATGTATCAGGCATGACACTGAGGTGTTCATTGTGTGCCACTATGGTGTTGGTGGGCTAGTTTCGCCCACCTACCTCCTAAGCGGACTTTGATCTAAATTATACATGATACTATTTTCTTGTTTTCTGAGTACTACGTAGTGTTCTAACTAATGATTAATATATTCCATTTCCATAAAGTGTGAATGATATGGGATGTACTGCGTGGAAGTCTCACGATGTCGGTTGCCTGCTTGTTTTTCCGTATCCGTGTTTGACTGAGGTGGTCAGCCATTCCGGTGTTAAAGTAGGGGGCCGGGGTTCACCTGCATCGAAATCAAAAGAGGCATATATAAAAAAGCCACGAAACGTTTACACGACTACACAAGCATATTCCTTCACTCTCAAACCTGTCTGAGCGAGTGCTTCAATACGGGATGAATGGTCGTGTGTCAAGGGGTGCACTCGTGTACAAACATGTGCTCACACCTGAATAAACATATGCATCCCCGAGCACAACGCTGTGAGCATTCTGTTCCGATTTGAACGATACTTCGGCAAACCTTATCACAGACGAACACGCACTACGTATCAAGCAACCATCTAGATATTAAGTAATACTCAGCAAGGACTAGGTTTATTGAATCAGTTGATTACAGCCAAATCATAGCCACAACAACCCCTATAATGGGCATATATCGTTGAGCGAAAAACGGACATTCGGTCACGTGGGCGACTGATATCTGACATATCGCACTTTAACAAATAGCATTGCGCACAGCTGACGATGCCACACATATCCATGAGACAGATAGCTACAGAGGAATCCAGTAATCAACAGTGATGTAATAACAGAACTGGAACACTCACATGCTATCAGAGATGACAAGTGCGAATAACCTTGTGCACAAAGACTGAGACAGTGACATAAATCGTAGGTCGGAAAGACCCATTGATAAAAACAAATACCCTACAACCCTAAAACTGAGACACCGACTCACCTGTAGGTAGGAGAGACCCATTGGTGCACCTGACACTGTCATAGATGTCCATTGTGCGCCCATGGGCGATGGCAACGTCATTGGACGGCGTCAAACAGTCCATGTCAACCTGAGGAAAATAAACGTAACACACAACATAACAACGCAGCGTAATGATGAGTCGATTGGTGAACAGTCCATGTCAACCTGAGCAAGACAGATGCAACACACAACACACAACAACACAGCGTAATGATGAGTCGATTGGTGAACAGAATAGTAACATGCGTGCCCTCGTATCTGACAGCTCAAACTGGGAATCAGCCAATGAGAACACTTAAGGTAGAAAACGCGTTTGACAGGGATGTTATAGGCGTTTAAACCTCTTAACCCCTCTGAAGCTGGTCACTACTACACAATTGTTGAATACTTATAAGTGACGCGCATTGGCACGGAACGGATTGACAAGCATGTGCTATTAAATGCCACAAGAACACAATCACTGCAAACCTCATACATCACTCACTACAGCGTGGTATGGCATAAAACATGTCATCAGATGCGCTAGCGGAGGCAAGGCCAAACATCTACCGGCAGAGCCACTGGCTTGCTCAGACACACTTCTTTTCTTAAGACAGAAACACCTCTTTTCTAAAGACAGACACACCTCTTTTCTAAAGACAGACACACCTCTTTTCTGAAGACAGACACACTTCTTTTCTTAAGACAGACACACTTCTTTCTTATTACAGACACACGTCTCAGACAGACACACATCTTTTCTTAAGACAGACACTCCTCTTTTCTCAAGACAGACACACCTCCTCTCGTAGGACAGACACACATCTTTTCTTAAGACAGACACTCCTCTTTTCTCAAGACAGACACACCTCCTCTCGTAGGACAGACACACTTCTTTTTCTCGTAAGAAAGACACACTTCATTTCTTAAGACAGACACACCTCTTTCCTCAAGTCAGACACACCTCTTTTCTTAAGACAGAAACACCTCTTTTCCCAAGACAGACACACCTCTATTCTCAACAGACAAACTTCTTTTCTTAAGACAGACACACTTATTTTTCTCGTAAGACAGACACACTTCTTTTCTTAATACAGACACACCTCTTATCTTAAGACAGACACACCTCTTTTCTTAAGACAGAAACACCTCTTTTCCTAAGACAGACACACCTCTTTTGTTAAGACAGACACACTTTTTTATTAAGACAGACACACCTCATTTCTTAATACAGACAGACCTATTTTCTTAAGACAAACACACTTCTTTTCTCAAGACAGACACACCTCTTTTCTTAAGACAGACACACCTCTTTTCTCAAGACTGACACACCTCTTTTTCTTAAGACAGAAACACCTCTTTTCCTAAGACAGACACACCTCTTTTGTTAAGACAGACACACTTCATTTCTTAAGACACACTTCATTTCTTAAGACACACTTTTTTTATTAAGACAGACACACTTCATTTCTTAAGACAGACACACCTATTTTCTTAAGACAGACACACTTCTTTTCTTAAGACAGACACACCTCTTTTCTCAAGACAGACACACCTCTTTTCTTAAGACAGACACACTTCTTTTTTTAAGATAGACACACCTCTGTTCTCAAGATAGACACACCTCTTTTCTCAAGACAGACACACCTCTTTTCTTAAGACACGGTCCAAGTCAACTGCCTCGAAGAACGCTACGCCCAGCGGCAAGTCATCGAATCCTAATCTCTTGGAGAACATGGCTCTGACCCATAAATTGGTTGTCTGTAAACAGGAAACAGGAAACAGAGACGATGAATAAACAGAAAACAAAGACGATATAACGGTTGCGCGGTGGAAAACGAGAAAGAAAGAAAAAACGAAAGTTAAAAAAGGTGAGTGAAATTTGGCTGGCAGTGTTGATATTGAGTGAATTTACTCCGAATGCACCATCAAGTGCACCCACATACAACAGTCAGCCTTACATGCTACAACAAACGAATCAGATACATTGCACGCTCCATGAAAAGGTCCACAAAGCACTATAATAAAACCACAAAACATCATTGAGTTCCATTTAGCACAACAATTGAACCACAGACTCTCTTGGGATTCACAAGTGGTTTATGTGACAAGTCAATACGGCATCGTGATGCTGAGCATCCCTACAGTGGTATACAGCACTCGCACGTATCATGACAATAACCCTTGTAGGGGAGTGAACAATAAGGTAGGATGCTGCGGTGCACTGACCTGTAACGCGAGGGCCATTCGATCGGAGTCCTCTTCTTTGCATATGTAGCGTACCTCGTCGTGTATTGAAATGATGAACCTACACCACGGCGTGATGGGGACGTGATTGGTGCAATGCCATTCATATGAGCAGACAAGCAGCAGGGCAAGGGCAGGAGGCACGCCCACACTCAGTAGGTGATACTTAGGCAATCCAGCCAACTAATGTCAACACCACATTTCCAGCACATCATGTGGAGGTTCTCTTGTCGTATGCTTCTCATTTGCACATCCGACAAGCTCACTAGTATGCGAATACCGACAAGGCTGCGTGCATCTTGACCTTATGGTGAGACGAGATCAAACTTGTATATCATTATGAGTCAACCATGTGATCTATCTGTTCCATTATGGTAGACAGCCAACGAACACCCAATTATGTGGATTACTTCATGGTAACCAGCAATAAACATACACCCCATGCACACCCACCTGGCATCTATCTTATATGCATGGCACAGGTACTTCATGGTAACCAGCATGAGGTGTAGGTAGTCAACAGCTGACGACTGCACCACCCAATTCACGCGACTGCGAAGATACTCTCGCCCCACTGAACTGGTCGACAGCACTTTGCTCATGTCCACTCCTGTGACACACACGCACATGGCGATAGAACAAGGTCAGAACAAACTCAAACAAACGCCAACGAACAGGACAAAAGGCATCACACACTCACCACACTCAATGACATGATAGAATGTATCACACACTCACCACACTCTAATAACATGATAAAATGTATCAAAACTCATCACACTCTAATAACTTTATACACTCACCACATTCCAATAACATGATATGTATCAATGCCGACATGCAGTCAACAAGCTTTGGAGGCGACGGAGAATACCACAACGAACGAATAGACCCGCAAGGCATCCTATATATACACATATAACCCAGTGCAGCGCATGAGCAACGATGAGTCATGGAAGCCGTGCAGCGCAAGACTAACAACACGAGTGGCTGAGTGTCCTATGGTCTGATAGGTTGACTACGGCTCTATCCCACGCACACTGAACCGTTGAATGTATAACGTGTGACACGACAGGATACGACTGGTAACACATGAAATGGTGATAAGCAGGAATCGCTTGTTCACCACATTCCTATGTTTAACCATGGCAATATCAAGGCTAAACCATGACAATCTCATCAGAGACAATATCAAGGCTAAACCATGACAATCTCATCAGAGACAATACCAAGGCTAAACCATGACAATCTCATCAGAGACAATCTCAAGGCTAAACCATGACAATCGCATCAGAAACAATATCAAGGCTAAACCATGATAATACCATCTGAGACAATATCAAGGCTAAACCATGACAATCTCATCCGAGACAATATCAAGGCTAAACCATGACAATCTCATCAGAGACAATACCAAGGCTAAACCATGACAATCTCATCAGAGACAATATCAAGGCTAAACCATGACAATCTCATCCGAGACAATATCAAGGCTAAACCATGACAATCTCATCAGAGACAATACCAAGGCTAAACCATGACAATCTCATCAGAGACAATCTCAAGGCTAAACCATGTTTTCAATTTTATCAGAGACAATATCAAGGCTAAACCATGACAATCTCATCCGAGACAATATCAAGGCTGAACCATTACAATCTCATCAGAGACAATATCAAGGCTAAATCATGACAATTTCATCAGAGACAATACCAAGGCTAAACCATGACAATCTCATCAGAGACAATATCAAGGCTAAACCATGACAATCGCATCAGAAACAATATCAAGGCTAAACCATGATAATACCATCTGAGACAATATCAAGGCTAAACCATGACAATCTCATCCGAGACAATATCAAGGCTGAACCATTACAATCTCATCAGAGACAATATCAAGGCTAAATCATTACAATCTCATCAGAGACAATATCAAGGCTAAATCATGACAATTTCATCAGAGACAATACCAAGGCTAAACCATGACAATCTCATCAGAGACAATCTCAACGCTAAACCATGTTTTCAATTTTATCAGAGACAATATCAAGGCTAAACCATTATTTCAACCTCATCAGACAATATCAAGGCTAAAGCATGACAATCTCATCAGAGACAATTTCAAGGCTAAACCATGACAATCTCATCAGAGACAATATCAAGGGCCGTGGCATACAGATGGTTCAGGCTTGCTACGTAGAAGTATTTGTATATGGGTATGTTTGAAAGCCTCTCGGGAAACCCAAATATGCAGATGGCCTGCATATATCCCATACTGAGGCGTTTCTTATTGAGATTTGTGTCATACTACACAAACTAAGTAGTTGGATGCGTGATTCGGGTTCAGTTGCTATTGTTTCGGGTACTAAGGGTTTAGGGTTTAGGGGTTTAGCGTATAATATAACTTACCTAGTACTGGTGTTTTGGGATTGTCTGCCTTTGCAATGCCTTCGAGAGCGTTGAACATGTGCGACTCAGTGCCAAATCGCCACTCAGCCGCCAGCGCTTCGTGCTCGAATTTCCGGAAACGTGTGAAATAGCTCTGTTTATGAAATGGCAATGCACCACACATCAGTATGAGACTCGATTTCTGAAAACGTGTGAAACAATTCTGTTTACTGAATGGCAAAGACCGCACGTCAGTAGGAGAGGGATGGCCAGCCATAGTCTCAATGTAGTGGTACACAGCACACAAGATGCGCCACATGGTAGTACACACACAGTTGCCTGAGATAATGTGATAGATGCCTTATTAAGACAACATTGCCGAGTGCACTGACTGGTGCGTGTGACTGTGACTTGCACCTTACCTTTAGGGTGCTCAACGGTACCCAGTCGCCGTAAATTTCCAAATCCGGTCGTTGGAATTTGATCTTCCGTGCAATTTCAGGCGAGATCTTCAGTAAGCGAGTGCCCTATTGAATATGCAGAGACCACTTAGGTTAAACCCCTACAAACCCTAGATCATTAGACTCTTTGCAGTGGACAGAGCTATCGCAGATGGTGTCCTCATAACACATCATTTGTCAAAGGGACAACCTCATGTAATGCGATCGATTCATTGACAACTGTTGGGGCGGGTGTGTTAGCCGAGAGGGGAGTGGGCAATACTAAATGTGGTTGGGTGGGTGATGGCTTTGATATGGTTTTAGGGTTTTAGGGTTTCAGTTGACGGCGTTGGGTTGAATTGGTTTTATAAAACACAAAACTCAACACATGAGTAGCACGAAGTAGGCAAATGAGGTACGCATTGGCAACGCTGTGGTTGATCAGGCCCAAGGAAGAATGGAGACAGGGCCTGCATGACATATAAGAGGTTAATTCTTAGTAGAAACTTCATAAAAGAGGTTGATTTTTAGTAAAACCTTCATATAAGAGGTTGATTCTTAGTAAAACCTTCATATAAGAGGTTGATTCTGAGTAAAATCTCCATATAAGAGGTTGATTCTTAGTAAAACCTTCATATAAGAGGTTGATTCTTAGCAAAACCTTCATATAAGAGGTTGACTCTTAGTAAAACCTTCGCAAACAAGATACTGGCACTGTGGTAAGGCACACACCTCAAACAATACAGAGAAACAGAACAAAGTACTTGCTGCCTTTGATCACACACCCAACACTGCGCCACTGCCTGCTTCACACTCTGGTGGGCGACACAGCCACACACCTTGGTGTTGAGGTATAGCGATTGAGCCTTTCGATCGGCTTCTTCGTCCGTCATAGTGCGGTTGTTCTGTAGCAGCAGTTGCTTTGCAAATTTCTGACCTGCGCCATAGATGCGGCCGTAGTTGAAAATCTGCGAAGGGCAAACGCAGCACACGATGAGTCAGTTATTACTGGAGTCAGAAGCGGATTTTAGGTCCTAGGGGTTTAGGGTTTAGGATTTATCAGACTTGTTAGTATACACATCAGACTTGATAGTCTAGAAGGAGAATGCAGGTATACCAATGGGGCGTACAACTCAGATCTCAAGGACATGGCTGGGCCATTAAGTGGCCAATGATGGACAAATTTGCCTTAGGCACAGCAGTGAACCCTTGGACATGATGTGCATCACAGGTGTCCTACGTAGCAAGTGGCTTATAGACGCATACTTGTGACCACATTGTAGCGTCATAGATCACCACAAAAATTAAGGTGCTATCATTCAGGTCAACGGTGAACTCAACCGACAACGAATGCGAATGCGTAGATAGTGATGTCAGTTGACAGTTGACAGATGGTGTTGGCAGTTGACTGTGCTAGGGTTTTAGCGTTAGGGTTGACAGTTGGCAGAATAGTGTTGACAGTTGACTGTGTGGTACCTTGGCTGTGTTGCGATCAATGCCCACCAGAGCGGCGGTGCGCGAATGCACATCAGTCCCATCGGATTTCTGCCCTCGCAGTGCCATCCACCTGTTTAAGGGTTTTAAAGTTATAGGGTTTTAGGGTTTTAGGGTTGGCATCGAGGTGTGGGTTCAGGGCAAGGCGGGGTTATATGTTTGGAGGCATGGGACGATTCACAAACGAACACCGAGCAAGAGAATGACGATGACAAAGCAATTGCAAGACATCTCACACGCATTGGCATACCCACACCATAGCGGTCTACGAAGGCTTACGAAATGAATTTCTCGAACAGAGATACCGTCGACGCCTAGCTGACTCAATCGTAGAATCCAACCACCACGGCACAACACAGACCCACTGGAACGGCACAATACATGCGCATACGACTACCACAAACCAACAACAGAGAACAAAACATGCACGAAACATCCAGTAAACCCGTTCACGATACATCCAGCATACCACGTTCACGATACATCCAATAGATTACATTCCCGAAGCATCTAATAGACCACACTCACGAAACATCCAATAGACCACACTCACGAAATATTCAATAGACCACACTCACGAAACATCCAATAGACCACACTCACGAAACATCCAGCAGACGAAGCATCCACCGCAATGCAAGTCAGTCAAAGGGCCGACTACGAACCAACACAAAACAACACTCAATCGCTTATGCACAGCGTAACAGTCCAACCACATCGAATCCACAGCGCAAGTGTCATCTATGCCACTCACCATTGACCCTCCCCTTACTCTAGACACACTCGTGACACATCGCTGACTCATGCATGGTCACCTGGCTTACCCCATTGCGGTGCATCCGTGCAGGCCACAGAAATGAGCGTCGCCTATGACGGCTGCTATCCACAGCTCCTGCGAGTCCACATCTGCGCCCACCAGTTGGTAGCCCTCGGGCGCAATCACCTGCGCCTTCAGCTCAGACCCCACGCGGTCGTTCTTGGTGTTGCTGGCTGATGTGAGCATGTGCACATGAATGGGGTTTGGGGTTTAGGGTTTTTAGGGGTGTAAGGTTTTTTAAAGGTTTAGGGGTTTTAAGGGTTTGGGGTTTTGAAGGGTTTACGGATTTGCTGGTCAACCAGGAGTCAGGCGACAGGCCAATGGCAACAACAACTAATGCGCACACGTCGCCCAGAGGATGCACATCACGACACCAAGTGGTGCGTGGGAGGTGCACAAGAGAGGTAGGCGTATGGGAGTGTCAGTGAGCCAGTGAGCAATGCCCTTGCATGGTGAGTCATGCATGTATCTTGCATGTGTCTGTGCTGTGTGCTTACCTATGAGTCATACATGTGTCATGCATGTGCCTGTGTTGTGTATTGACCTATGAGTCATGCATGTGTCTGTGTTGTGTGTTATGAGTCATGCACGTGCATGTGTTGTGTGTTTTGAGTCATGCACGTATCTGCGTTGTGTGTTATGAGTCATGCAAATGTCTTGCATGTGTCTGTGTTGTGTGTTATGAGTCATGCGTGTCTGTGTTGTGTGCTATGAGTCATGCACGTGTCTGGGTTGTGTGTTATGAGTCATGCATATGTCATGCACGTATCTGCGTTGTGTGTTATGAGTCATGCAAATGTCATGCATGTGTCTGTGTTGTGTGCCATGAGTCATGCACGTGTCTGGGTTGTGTGTTATGAGTCATGCATATGTCATGGATGTGTCTGTGTTGTGTGTTATGAGTCATGCATGTGCCTGTGCTTCGTGCGTACCTGTGAGCCAGGTAGCCTCTACTGCCCGGCGGGTGACTGTGCCTGCACTCAGCAGCATTGGGATGATCACATTGGTGCCAGTGGTGGGGTCTCGGTACACCATCTGCTTCTTCACGCGACTCTGCGCACTGATCCAGTAAGAACACTCCGTTGCCTACACAACACACACACACACACAGAAGGATGGATATCAAACAAAACTTCAATGCGTAGTCGTGGAGAAGGTTTATGAACTACAGCTATTCCACACTCGGCTTATGAACTACTATACACTCTTGCGACGACGAAGACTCTGTCCAAATTAGTGAGTCAGCAACCGAATCATACAAGGTCAATGAAGAAACAGGCACCAAGGCATGGCAGCAAACCCTAAAAACCCAAAGCATGGCAGCGTGCGGGCATGTGATGGTATGACTAAAAGTATACACAAACGACAGCGACTCACGACTAACACCCGTGCACCCACCAAACCCCAATGTGAATAAACTAGGTTTAAATACTCACACAACGAGGCAAAGCACACATGGCCGCTAAGGTATAAGACGATTTAAGGTTTATGGTTTAGCTGAAACCCTAATCGGCACAGTACATGAAGGACTCTTGAAGAGGAGATGCATGTTGGTCCTTGTATACATCACCTCATAGAATGGCATATGTGCAATGATTCACATCACAATAGAACTAAATATAAACCAATATAACATGGATGTTGTTGGTACTATGGATATGACTAAATACAAACACGCATTTATTTGTCAGCATACGTGCTATCGGGATATGGGGAGATAGGCATGCTCATAGACTCCAATAGCTTGTACCTACAATTGTTATCAAGTTATTCGCCTAGTACAGACAAAACACTACACCGCCAACCAGTTAGTAGAAGATGATATACAGGTGACATGAACCCCATCACAACCAAACACACGCAAATCAACCAGACACATCTGTGTAGTATAGTCTATCATCACCAAACACACGCAAATCAACCAGACTCATCTGTGTAGTATAGTCTATCATCACCAAACACACGCAAATCAACCAGACACATCGTGTAATATAGCTCCATCATAATAATGTTGTTCTGATATGGACAGCGAGAAAACTTCAACAGTTGACGATGCAATCAAAGCAATATTGTGTTCATTCGCTGCAGAAAGCCTGCCCAGTATACAATGTGCAGCAATACGCTTGCAGCCACTTGCACCCGTTTGTGAATAGCGGACCACAAGTTAGGACCACAAATTAGGACCACCAGGGCACTACTCGCAGCGACGGAGCACAAGATATGAGAACAAAAAGTCAAGCATACCTTCCGCAGAGCCTCTTTGGCTTCCGGATATTCCGATGTCAACACACCCGACTCAATGTCTGCCAAGAAATTCTGAGACAGGGAGGACGGGAGAAATAAAAATAAGCATAAGCACAAGCACAAGCACAAGCATAAGCATAAGCATAAGCATAAGCATAAGCATAAGCATAAGCATAAGCATAAGCATAAGCATAAGCATAAGCATAAGCATAAGCATAAGCATAAGCATAAGCATAAGCATAAGCATAAGCATAAGCATAAGCATAAGCATAAGCATAAGCATAAGCACACGCACACGCATAAGCACAAGCACAAGCACACGCATATGCACCTGAGGCCATTGTGGACTAGCCTGACGTAGGCCAACAGACGAGTGTTAAAAAGAAAGAAGTCACTCAAGTGCTGCAGCAGATGTGACAACATATCTACACAGCTGCAATGTCCTGTGTCCTGTGTCATGTGTTGTGTGTTATGGTTTATGTGTCATGTGTTGTGCCTTGTCGCGTGGTGCATTGACTTACCTTGGCCATGGGGTTGCCTACGTTAGATCCATCCCCCTTGGCGTGGGGTAGTTTGTGGAAGTCGCCTTTGGCGTCGGTGTAGCCCCATGAGCGTTTGGTGGGATGAAACATCAGAGGCTTACCATTCCACAGCAGCCGCAGCAGATACGCAGCCACACGCTGTGTGCATTTGGGTGTGTTACGACACGGTGGCGATGAGAGGTTGAAGTATATGTGTTGCACATACGTATGTGTATTTTAGATATCTTCTAGGCTATCTATCCCCTTCATCTGTGTAGATATCTAACCCCCTAGGGGCGGGGGGGGGGAGCCCTAGAGACCATAAACAGTGGTCCGGAACTCACCCTAAAAACACTGACACAAAGGAAGCAATCATCACCACCAACATGCCAATCAGATAAAACAAGACCACCCCCTACACACTAATACACGCTTCACACACGACATAGCCTTGGCAACCAACTCCACCAACATGCCAATCAGGGAAAACAAGACCACCCCCCACACACCAATGAACCAAAACACCAACACACGCTTCACACACAACATAGCCTTAGCAACCAACACCACAACATACCAACCAGAGAAAACAAGACCATCACCCACACACCAATGAACCCACCCACCAACACACGCTTCACACACGACATAGCCTTAGTAACCAACACCACCAACATGCCAATCAGAGAAAACAAGACCATCACCCACACACCAATGAACCCACGCACCAACACACGCTTCACACACGACATAGCCTTAGCAACCAACACCACCAACATGCCAACCAGAGAAAACAAGACCATCACCCACACACCAATGAACCCACGCACCAATACACGCTACAAACACGACATAGCCTTGATATCATATGCACCACAGGTGAGGAAAAAGAATATAAAACCCTAAACCCATCACACAGCATGCTGAACATACTCCAAAGCACTTACAACACACAACGGGATCACTAAGATAGCCCAACCAACTGGACTCTCAAACACTTAAGTACAATACATTCCCAATGAGAGCATCAAGCACACACCGTTACAAACGCTGGATCAAGCGCACACCCTACTTAGTCACGCTACCAACGCTGGATCAAGCGCACACCTTACTTAGTCACGCTACCAACGCTGGATCAAGCGCACACCTCACCTAGTCACGCTACCAACGCTGGATCAAGCGCACACTTCGCTTCATACTCCATATACTAGAAAAGCAAATCAAGCTCACAAATTCAACTAACAAGTGCAGAAGACTACGCCCCGCCAATAGGACGCACGACAAGCGAGTGATGTGAGGCTATAACAACGCACAAGCATTCACAAGCTACAACCTTAAACCCTAATTCATAAGCATTCATAAGCCCCATTTACGTCGCCTGTGCCGTGCATGGATAGTCGCCCTGCATCAGTTTTAAACACACGCATGTGCATGACGAATGATCTCATCATTTGGGTGGATAGGCCAGCTGCAAATGACATTCACATGACACCTAACACATGACACATAACACATAATGTGTGCACAGTTGCAGATGCGCCTGTATAAAGGTTCCACAGCGTAGTCCTGATTTGCTGTGGCATCGCCTATCATACTCGTGCGGGTGGTGTGAGTGTATGTGTGTGTGTGTGTGTGTGTGTGTGTGCATATATATATATATATGTGTGTGCGCGTGTGCGTGTGCGTGTCTGTGTGTGGCGTGTGACTTACTGTGCGTGTGGTGATGACAGGTTCTGCTGAGCCGGGTGTCTTGCATAGATCTCTGAACCACTGTGGACGGTGCTGCAGAGTCTTTCGCCGCAGCGTGCCTTTGGGCAGACTCCAGTCCAAGTGTTTGACATGCTCGTCGTCAGTGGGCGGGTTCTCCTGACACGACACGGACAGCGCAGAGATGGGCGTAAGGTCAACAAACAACTGCACACCCCAAACATGTGCGCAGAGGTGATAGGTGACATGTAACAGACACGGCACATGCAGCAAAGCATGAGTACTTTTAAACACAGCACATACAGCAAAGTATGAGTACTTTTAAACACAGCACATACAGCAAAGTCTGGGTACTTTTAAACACAGCACATACAGCAAAGTCTGGGTACTTTTAAACACAGCACATACAGCAAAGTCTGGGTACTTTTAAACACAGCACATACAGCAAAGTCTGGGTACTTTTAAACACAGCACATACAGCAAAGTCTGGGTACTTTTAATCACAGCACATACAGCAAAGTCTGGGTACTTTTAATCACAGCACATACAGCAAAGTCTGGGTACTTTTAATCACAGCACATACAGCAAAGTCTGGATACTTTTCCAGCAGCAGATAGGCTAGTTTGATCAGATTCTCATTGACCTCGTCCATTCGCTTCTTCATCTGTTGATCTGCCATTCCCACAAAACCATACCTGTGCGTGTGAATACCACCAGCATTAAAACACACCGTGCATAAGACTACCCCCACGAACAACACTCTACCACCGCTTCATCATGCATACTCGTGAACTATTAAAACACATCATGCATAAGATTACCTCCACTAACAACACTCTCTACCACCGCTTCATCATTGGAGCATACTCGTGAACTATTAAAACACACCATGATAAGATTACCCCACTAACAACACTCTCTACCACCGCTTCATCATAACAGCATACTCGGAACTATTAAAACACATCATGCATAAGATTACCTCCACTAACAACACTCTCTACCACCGCTTCATCATTGGAGCATACTCGTGAACTATTAAAACACACCATGATAAGATTACCCCACTAACAACACTCTCTACCACCGCTTTATCATTAGAGCATACTCGTGAACTATTAAAACACACCATGCACGAGACTACCCCTGCTGGAAACACTCTCTACCATCGCTTCATCATTAGAGTTTACTCGTGAACTGCGCTATATAGCCACTATACATCAGTCATGACTATTCGTAACGAATCATAGCCTACACAATTGAGTCAGTAAATATGTGCGTGATTCATTAAACTCATTTGAGTTTTAAAATCTGCGACTGAGAAGTAATTACTTTACACATGCCGATAAAAATGCAGGAGAAATGCATTCAATTCGGATGTAAATCTAGTTGACTAGCAGTATATATATATATATATAAATATATATATACATATATCATACATACATGCATACATACATACATATATATATATATATATGTGTGTGTGTGTGTGTGTTTGTGTGTGTGTGTGTGTGCCTACGCATATGCCTGAAATTTTTGAAACTGTGGAATGAACATTTGATTCACGAAAACTAGCACAAAATTGATAATTCATGCACACTGTCTTCATGATAACCCACAATCAAAGTAAAATATACTGACGGTTTGGTGCAGCATCCGTCTAAACATCGTCTGCCCTGTCTTTTTCGAACACGCTTTATAAAGATAGACCACGTACCAATTGTCTGAGAGGGGTAGATAGCATATAACCATAGACCACGTATCAATTGTCTGAGAGGGGTAGATAGTATATAACCATAAACAACGTACCAATTGTCTGAGAGGGGTAGATAGCATATAACCATAGACCACGTACCAATTGTCTGAGAGGGGTAGATAGCATATAACAATAGACCATGTACCAATTGTCTGAGAGGGGTAGATAGCATATAACCATAGACCACGTACCAATTGTCTGAGAGGGGTAGATAGCATATAACCATAGACCACGTACCAATTGTCTGAGAGGGGTAGATAGCATATAACCATAGACCACGTACCAATTGTCTGAGACGGGTAGATAGGTAGATCCCATCTCCAGCATGCCGGCAAAGGTGACCGTACCAATGGTGGGCAGCCAATTGCGCGCAATGACGCTGTACACATCAAAGGTCGCCTGCACGTCACACGCACAGTACGTCAACAGACTCTGCACATCCCTCTGTACCTCGTCAAGTGTTCCCGTGGTGAAGACGTCACGCGCTGATTTATCCAAGGGCTTCTCCATGTACAGTTTGTATCTGTCAATGTGTGTACAGTCTATGATTGAATAAGTGTGTGTACAGTCTACGATTGGATAAGTGTGTGTACAGTCTACGATTGAATACAAGCGAAAAATCACCAAGACAACCTGACCTCACCGACACGACGGGATCACAAAGAACAGTGTAGGACCCAACACTAACATTAAACCCTAAACTCAGTTAACGTTGAACCTTAAACTCACAAGACCTGACCCAAATTTTTGGTCCAAATGCGAGTGGTATCGACAAGACAAGTGAGCGAGTGGCCAGCAGAAGACCACAGAAGTACATGAGATCACACAAGCCCTATCCCTTGAAACATATATGTACAAAATAAGGCAAAGTCTACGGCATGGAACAAAACCAAATGTAAAGACGTGCACACGCTTTCTATACATTTAAAGTGACTGTATAGCTGTTCTATACATTTAATGTGACTGTACAGCTGCCTTATACTGTTTATGTGACTAGTGTTTGTTTTTTTGTGTGTATTGCGTTATGTGCCTCGTGTAGTAATGATAAACCACCCTCGTTCTGGATTCGCTTAGTAAAGCGTTAAACTCGTCTGAGCTCATTTACACAATTAAAACTAAACACGCGCATAGGCAGAGAACTCATCATTAGACACCAATGCAAAGCACAAATAGCCCATCCACACACACGATCACCCACACACACGACCACCTCCCTGGCCGTCTTAGTACATGTAAACCCTAAAACGCAAGTGCAGAAGGTGTAGACCCTAAAAACCCTAAACCTAAACTCTTGGTGCGTTGTGCGTGGACATACACTTCGCCTAGGCCATTGGTGGAGGTCTCGCGTGTCCAGATGTTCTTGCGTGAATCGGGTGTCTTCTGCATGCCATGCCACACTTGGCGCTGTATGCATCAGAATAAAAACACCACATGCAAACTTAAAACCCTAAAAACCTAATAGATAAAATACTACAACCTTGCCCGCTCAGTATTAATAGACCATTCGTAAACGGGTTGATTGCTCAATTCTACACTTGGTAAACCAGACTCCTAAGGCCCGCTATAGCTAGTTGTGTTGGTTTAGAGCTCGCAAGCACAATGTAGCCGATGTCTATACGTTTCAGACATATCAGGGATGACGAGAGGGGGTAAGATCGGGGCGTCCGATACCAAGCGAGCTACATAGTGGATCACCCGCAACACCCGTCCACAGATAAGCACGACTGTGGGCTTGGCGCGTGGGGTGCCAGTGAACTACCGGGTGTAGGTAGTACAATGTGAGACATAAGTGCAATGTACGAAGTAGCGCACGGATGGAACTAACAACAGGTCACTGGGGCATTGCCTTGTGGTGTAGTGACTGTTGGGTGTAGGTAGTACAATGATGGAACTAACAACAGGCCACTGGGTCATTGCTTTGTGGTGTAGTTTCACTACGAAGTTCGTTGTAAAGCCCGTTCGTAGATGTGGAGACCAGTACATAGCTACAGAGTTACACTAAGAAGACACATAGAGCGCATCGCGATACGCTGTGACAGTACTCTGTGGACACTTGCGACATCCTCACATTGTGCCATGCTCACACCAGACTGACAGTTGTGTGTGTGTGTTGATGCTTCAACAGGAGATTCAGATGCGTTTGGAACATGATCAGCCACACTCAATATAAATGTATGCACCAGCACAGGACAACCCCACAGACCCCTACCATCAACCCACAGACATCAAGCAACAACACACAGACATCAAGCATGGAAAACTCTGATGAAGTACAGCTCAGTACTCGATTTAAAATCTCAACAAGCTTTGGAGTCACTTCGCTTCAACAAACTCAAAGACAGACTGTAGGCTGAGAACTGGTGGCGAGCCACACGCAGCACACAAAAGATCTAGCCACACACAGACAACCGCGTCTCAGATAGGACCACCCATGAGGGCTGCAGATGTTGAGTTGGATTGCGTTGAGTTGGGTTGGATTGCGTTGTGCTGTGTTGTGTTATGTTGTGTTGTGTTGTGTTGTGTGGTTCAATTGTACAGAATGGGTCAGTTGAACGTACCTGGCCACTGCTCATTCCGTTGTAGCACATGTGCATGGACAGTGTGTCAAGGAACCGAGTGTTGGTGCCCTGCAGATGATACTCCTGCGCAAGTCACATAAGAGACGACAGATGAGTTAAGCAGAAACACATGTCTACAACTGAGAAGGCGAAACAAAACCCTAAAACACAACAAGCAATTGCCACGGAAATGAGGATGATATCAAGTACACTAGTTTAGTCTTATCATATCCACTACACAGAACATGTAAACACATCAACAAGGCAAGACGTGATTCATACAGAAAGAAAGAAGACACCCGCCAACGATCAGTAGTCGATTGTCTGCTACAACTATAAGAGATGCTTTAAACGATGCAAAGTATCAAAAGACCTAAGCTGTCAGTCAACCAAATGCACACGTCAATGACTATCCACGATACAATGAGACCTCTGCAACAGTCCAGAGGCAAAAGCGCAACTACACTTGATGCCTGCCTTCGAACAGTAGCACACACTACTGGAAATACCTGGCACACAAAGAGAGAGGTGTACAGTTCGGTACATGCGCACACATCCAAGTGACACCGTTCCAATACCCGCAATAACACCAGTTTAACATTCGCTTGCACAGGAAAAACCTGCAATGTTTTTCGCATCCATATCACACACGACTACTAGCGATTGATGGTGAGACATGTTACCAGCTACACCACCTACGGACAAATAAGACACAGGCGAAGCTTTTGAGAGAGCGCCAGACGGAACATCCACACAGCGCAGCACATGGGACACACCTCGGCAATCTTACTGCGATCAAAGCTGACGTTGTGGCCCACTATCAACCGCTTACCACTCACAGGGCCACCCGCAGCCTCAGACACTGCAAAGAGAATCAGCTCATTGGCTGGCGCATCAGGCACACCCACCAGCCGTTGACTACACCATGAATACCTGCAAGGATGAACCATAGACAATCACATTGCACTGAATAAACGTATGCTCAATCATACAAGGATGAACCATAGACAATCACATTGCACTAAATAAACGTATGCTCAATCATGCAAGGATGAACCAAGGACAATCACATTGCACTGAATAAACGTATGCTCAAGCATGCAAGGATGAACCATGGACAAACTCATTGCACTAAATAAACGTATGCTCAAGCATGCAAGGATGAACCATGGACAAACACATTGCACTAAATAAACGTATGCTCAATCATACAAGGATGAACCATAGACAATCATATTGCACTGAATAAATGTATGCCCGAGATATTTCCGATCCGCTCATCTTATCTTCAAAAACTGCCAATCAAATAACCGGTGACAACTATCTACAACGCACCAAACATACGCCCACCCAACCAAACCATAACGCATTGTCAAAGCACGTACACCATACCATGCGTCAGTGGACGCTGCCACAGCCATTGTGGGGAAGTGATAGGTGCCATGCTCATCAATGAGTGTCTCGACATCAAACACTGTCACAGCCTCCAGCGGAGCAACAACCGGCACACCCTAACAATCGCATGGACAATGGAAGACTGTGAGCGTACGCCAACGCTAACAAGGGACAATGCGGTAGACTCTCTCAACGACACTATAGAGCCAGGGACAGATTAGCATTTGCACATGATCCTTTGCACAGTAGTCAGTTTGCGAGGAAAGTAACCTGAGGCGAGTTGATTCAACCCTAAAACACTGACAGCGCGAACGTCAACGATTAAAACCCTAAGAACCTAAACCCCTAACGATAAGCGGTCAATGTGCACCACAAACATGGCATGATACATATTTTTGTTTTTCTCCGAAGCCATGCTACAAGAGGAATGTGTACACAACGCAGCAGTACCTAAAAGAAATACAACCGATAGCACAAGAAACCCAAATGTTGAAACAGTGGTAGTCTTTGGCAGGCCAATATCCTGTTCACCATTGATGCGAAATTAACACGGAAATAGGACAGCCCGTGATATAATGCAGTAACGTTCTGCGCTTAGTTGTCTACTATCAGCCGTGATCCGAGCATAGCTATTATTGAGATTTACGCTGTATTATTCTTAAGACAAAGGCTGAGTGTGGTGCGAAAGCATCTAATTGGTTGGCATATGTGCTGCACATGGAGAAGGACCTAAGCACAATCCAGGTTCAATAGGCCCATGTGTGTAGACAAAGGGTCTACATTTCAACACACGCACGTCCCACCACCCATCCCTTCACAAAATACGCGGTGACGGGTGGTGAAGATTTGTTGCAAATATTCGGACTGCAATGAATAT